AAATTTCGAATTGGATGACGGGAAGGCTTTCCGATGGCAGCTGATACTTCCAAGACACCGGATCCCGGACGTTCTCTCACAGCAGCCCTACCGGAGGCCACTTTGGAATAATGCACACCTTACAGGTAGTTCGTGAGTGCTTCTACTGGAATAATTCAAAGGACGATGTGCAAAACTGGTGCAGATCTTGTGATGCCTGTGCAGGTCGGAAAGGACCGAAGAAACGAAGCTGAGACAAGCTGCAATGATACAATGTAGGAGTGCCTTTTGAACATATCGCCTCTGACATCTTGGGATCTTTTTATTCCAGTGTAATTCATAAACTGCAGATTACCTGTAAGAATTTGATGCATTTGATGCTTTCGGACTATAAATATTAGGCTTATATGAAGTTTCATGGTCATGCAGCAGCTCCTAATCTGTGTTCCACTGGAGCACCACTTTACAGGAGTCTCCTGGCACACCAGGATGTTAAGTAAATAAAAACTTATGAAATTAAAGCAAAAGAAAAAGTAGATTTAAAAGAAAAGAACTAGGAATTACATTCTGAAAGGAAATCTGCCAAGTTCAGTCTCACCTTTCCTACAGCATGATCAAGGTAATCACATTGCTTATAATAAGAAACATTTTCCTATAAGTTTTAGATCCCATAACACGTTTCCCCTCTTCAAGACCTTAAATGTCAGAAATGAACAGTTATGTGACCAAGCTGAAGTTTTCGTAGGATGATATTTGAGATGATTTATAATTGATTTATCTTGATTAATTTGATTATTTTTCATGTACAGGAAAAGATTAATGTTTTAGTATGTTTTAAATATTAATCTCACATTTTGTATAAAGTAATAAAATGTTTGAATTATAATAGTTAACATTTGTAGTTTTAAAATATTCTTCATAAATAGTGAGGGCAAAGGAAAATGAATTCTTTTAGTCTAGCATCCAGGTTCGATCAGGCGTTTAATAACACATGATGATAATAAACATTTATCACAAATAAAGAACATTTTAATTTTTTTAACATACTGTTGAGCATTTTATTATTGTGCAGGAAAGTATTGTAACTTCTTAGTGAAGAAGAATCAGGAAGAAAAAATAGTCTTTGATTACATGGGGGGGGGTGTATCTAATGGCTCTTTAGGATATAGTTTTTACAAACAAATATTCCATGGATTTGAAGCCAGTGACAGCTTTGTTTATTACATTTACCATACTCCATCATTTAGTTGGTGACCGTGACAGCAGTAATTTTAAAATACTTTGATATAAGGGACTGAATGGGTTTAGCAGTAGTATTTTATGAAAAATGGAGCAGGCAAAAAATGAAACATCTCTGTGACAGTATTTTACATTGCAGTAGATCAATTTTAATCAGTCATAATTTAATTTTTTCAGTGATTGGTGATAGATATGCAAATTTATCACAATTTTTATCCACAATAGTGAGCAAAACTTAGGCAAAAAATTCATTTTTCAACATACAACCATGAAATTGTTGTAAAGGATGAGTACAATGAAAAACCAACTCAGCAGAAAGGTGGTGCATATGCAAATATCAGCATCATGATATCAGGGCATACATCAAGGCACACAAAATGCAAGGAGTCAGCACATGCAGTGTGAGGCAACTTAGAAACAAGAAAGGAAGGTGCATTTTCAGGCTCTCTTCTCCAAGTGAAAGTAAGACTGTATGTGCAGTATGATTACAAAAAAGCATCAAGATGCCTTTACACATAGTGAAAAGATTGGTAAGCTAAAGGAGGTTTGACATCTGTTACCCAAAAGTTAGAAACTAATAAAAATGTTCCTTCATAAGCTAGGGAAGCCTTCAAAATTACTGGTATAGCTATAAGGTTGGTGGTGGTCAGCGAAGGTAAACAATGGTGACTGATGACCTGTAGATGAAAAGATATCAAAATCAGACAGCAGTTGCCCATGTCAACCGGACGACAGGTGTTCTGGTTTACTGTGACCAAAAGGCATCATAAAGGCAGCCTACTTAACTGGTTACAGCCGAAAACATCGCAGATGAAAATGTTGAGGAGAAAACACTGCAAGGTGAAAAACATCGTGGGAGGAAAGAAAGAGATTAACATCACAGTTCTAAAACCTCGTGGTAAGAATATTGTTGTTGAAAACAAAGCAGTTAAAAAACTTCGCAATTTAAAAACACTGTCGTCAAAAATATCATGATAAAAAACAAAGTACCTACAAATTATCGCATGACGATAACATCACACACATGCGTTTTTCAGGTTTTAAAAGTGTAAATGCATATTCACGTAAAGATTTGGAAGTGCAAGAAATGTTAACGACACTTTAAGAATAAACGGAAACAAAATGAGATATAATGTTGACCAAAGCAATATCAGATTAACAAATGTGAAAGAAAGTAATTTGATTATTAACTAAGCAAATTTTTATAGAGGTAACCTCATGTTGTTATTATCTTACTTTTCCAAAACATTTTCACACTGTATTTTTCATAAAACATTATGCGTAAAACTTTATAAAAAAAGGTTAATTGACCTTTATAAATTAACTATAAATTTAAAATCCTATTAAGTGCTGTAAGTTTCATTAAGTTTCTACTCAATTTCAATTTTTACATGCTTAAGTTTCCTTCTTAATTTTTCAGTAAAAATTTATTAGTTCACTCAAAAATATGAAATATAAAAGTAAAAATATCTCTCTTTCCTTCTTGTACTCCCAAATCATTATGCGAAAATGCATTTACAGCTTTTAAAACCTGAAAAACGCATGTGTGCAATGTTATTTTTATGCGATGATTTGTAGGTACTTTATTTTTTACAGCGATATTTTTGACAACGATGTTTTTAAACGGCAAAGTTTTTAATGGCTTTATTTTCAGTCATGATATTTTCGCCTTGCATTGTTTTCTCCGCAATGTTTTCGTCCTCAATGTTTTTGGGGAACACCACTTATCAGCCATCTGAATACTACATACAATTAACAGCAAACCATTGGTGGCCACATGAGTCACATGATTTTAAGCCGTCTGCCCATACATTTCAGTTATATATTTGTTTCAATGCAGCACTTACAGATTTCAATATAGCATGAACTCGGTGCACAGTAGATTTCAATATAGTATTTATTAAGAAAATAGAAAAGCTCTAACAAATACTTCAGCAGTCATTATATTTCATTTGATGAAAACGGGAATACCTGTACATATATATACAGTGTGGTCAAATTAAAAGTCGATAGTGGTACTAAAAAAACCCTATGAAGCTATAGAATAATCACCGATTTTCAAATGCAGCCTTGATCTTACTGGATGTTACTGATATAAAACAGGTACGTGTAGCAAGGAATAACCACTGATAACAACATGATGGGTAGCAATACTTCGCCTCTAATCAGATTACATAGGTGTTTGATTGTGTTCTGCCTTACAAAAACATGTTTTCAGCTCTAACATATAAATAGCATGTGGTTATATGTTTTTGACTGGCTAAAAACAAGCTAATCAAGATTCAGAAAAGAATGTTCACAATACAATAAAAAAATGTGTTTCATAAAAAAAGAAAAGGAAAGAAAGAAAAAGAAAACCTAACAACACTTCAAGCTTCCGAAAACCTGTTAAAGAATAAATATAAAACACAAACCAACTAAAGTTCATCGTTACACTTGGGTGGAACGACTGGATGAATGCACGAGAGCAGATTGTAGAATGAATTTTATGGCATTTACTGTATTATCTCGTCGACTGTGAAAGTTGGCGACCATCAACTTATGAAATTTGGCAGAAATCACACCAAAGTTGTGCTAACAGTTACTACATAATTTTGAAGGAATTAATGCCATTCGTTTAATAAACAACAGTTTTCAGATTAACAAATAATAAATAACATTATTTATTTTATTTAATAAACAACAATATTTATGGTTTACGTTGAAATATTCAAAACTTTTCTCTTCCAGTTTTTCAGTAGAATACAATTTCCCCGAATCGAAATATATTATAGTTCCCTTCTTCATATTTTCCTTAATTGTTTCTAATATAATGCCCATGGATCAGTCTGGCATCTTCACAAGGAAATATTTCATTTGTTTCAATGCAAACTCTAACAAAGATCTACTGTAGTGGTTGAATCCATCTCCCACATTGTTTTTGCACATCGTGAATATACTTTCATCCATTTTGACATACATAACAGGTCTTCCTATTTTCCGTTGTTGACATTTAAGCAAAGTTTCCACACAAACCTCAGGCATGTAGTTATTCCAGTCCACAACTGTTCTGTGACTGATTTCCAACTGCTTTTCACACCATTTAACTGAAGTTAATTCTTCATTCCAACCATAAATAAACCTCACACACTTCAATTTCGATGACCCAGAGCATGTGCCTTTTCGGCTACTTCTTTTACTGCAACAAGTTCAAAAGTTACAGCACCACTCAATTTCATCTTGGAAATACAATTTTCATTTCATGATTATTATCACAATTAGCAATTTTATGCAAGATGCCTTTCATTTATTCTTTCTCTGTTCTGGGAAAAAATCAATTCATCTGTTTTTTTTTTTCATCCATTTTTGGCACATTAGGAAAAAAACATAACTGACAGGGAATGGCCGCAACTTGTTTTGAAATTGCGGCAGTAAACGGTTAACGGCAGGAATATTCCGTTTGACATCAGCTGTATAATTTTTGTTGACTTTATCGCCTGCACCAGAGAAATGGAACAATACCAATTTTTTATTAGCCTTTATATTATACTTGTAAGATCCCCACCTAGCATCTGCTAGAGCTAATGTACTACATGCTTTGGTTAACAGAATGGTGGTTTAATAATTTTAGCATGACTACACACATCATCTTTAAGGTACATGCAGATAGGATATCTGTAAAAAATAAACACTAAACAAGAATCTTGAATGGGAAACCTTAGTATCAAACAAGAAATATACAGATTAATAAAAAATATAGCATATCAATAAAAATGGCAAATACTTAATGAGACATACATTACCTTCTGAACTCATCATCAGCCGTATGATAATCAATACGTTCATTAAAATATGTTATACAGCATGGAATACTTGAATTACTTTTCACAACACTGTAGACAGCCATTTCTTTAATACCTACTGTTAGCTGTACACCATTTTTTGAAACAATACTTTCAATCTACAGTATAATAAATAAATAAATAAAAATCAGTCATGGCAATCTTTATAACCAAAATTTCAACCAATTTTTATTATAACAATTTTTTAAATAAAGAAATACCAATGATTATATACCGAAAACTATAAACAGTGACAGGTATGATATGACAACATAAAAGCATTTTGATAACATAATTTACATAACCATTTTACATAAAGACATTTGCAGAGCCATTTTGGTAAAAGTATATTTAAGGGTACTCCTTGGCGATTTTTAGCGGTACATGGATACCAAGTTTGTGCAATTCTTTGACTTATTTTGACCTGCATAGCAGTGATTTTTGGTGCAAAATTTGCCGCTACGCAAACCAAAATAACAAGTCAAAGAATTGGACAAACTCAGTATCCATGTACACATCGACCTATTTTCACTTAAAAAAAAAATCCCCGAATTGCACAAAAATGGCATTTTGCACTCCCTTGACTTTATCCATGCACACACACCGACCTATTTTCACTTAAAACAACATCAGAGAATTGCACCAACTATGCTTTACGCACTCCCTCGAGTTTGTCCATGTACACATCGATATTGTAGTGGCCTAGTTATTGCATGAGAAATAATTATTTTTTATCTTATATATTTGTTCATTTGTTTAATTATTTTATAAAATTAACTTTAATATTTTGTTAATTATTCATATTTATATTTCTTTTATGCTGAATGGCAACAAGTAGTTCATATTTATATTTAAATTTCTTTATGCTGAATGGCAACTAGTTCTGATTCATGATTACTAGGTTTTGGTTTCAAAACGTTGCTCGTAGCGTCGCATTTCGATAGTTGGAATGCAATAAACTTAGCTATTTGTTTATAATTCATGCTGTTCCTAATCATAAATTAATTTTAAACATTAGTAGCCAAGGCCACAATATATTTTCACTTAAAAAGTCAAAGAAGCACCCAATTCTACAGTAGAGGCAAACAAAAAATACATAATCAAATAAACTACATTTTAAACCAAACAATAAAATAACACAAAAAAGGAAAAACCTGTTATGTATTTTAGCACTACACAAAGCAAATACTCCCTTACCTTATTTAGAAATCTGTTCGTCTTCAACCTGTGACACACAAAATTCCTTAACAACATCCAAAAACTTCCTAAAATTATCTGAACTACAATCCATATATCGGTGTCGCCACAGAAATTCACAAAAATAACACTCAAAAACATACTATGTAGTTCCGGACTATAGCTACCAAGTAAACCTTCATTTACACACCAATCAATTAATGCACTTTTTCCCTTTCATTCCAAATCGTACAGAAACTTCAAATTAATCCTACTACATTCAACCATTGTACTGTCTAAACAATGAAACAAGCAATGTACTTCCTAAGCAACACACACCACAAAAGCCTTTGCAAAACATCCAATGATTCAAAATTTCCCAGAATAATGCAAACGATTATGTCATAATAGGGTTTCCATAACATCCAACCCCTCAGGTTACCATAAATAATACAACTTGGCAATAAACAAAACAACAACTTGGAGATAAATGAAACAACAACTTCGCGATAATACAAGGGGGACCTTAAAGTCAACTCTAACTGCCATTTTTACATAGATATTAACATAGCCGTAACTAATGCATTAAAACGCATCAATTAGTTATGTGTAAGCAAATTAATTTTTATGATAACCAAAAAGTGAAATAAATAAATGAAAGCAAATATATTTGTAAATTAAACAGAAACTCTTAAACAATTACTCTTACAGAAAGTTTCATGTACACTGAAGTGACAAAAGTCATGGGATACCTCCTAATAACTTGTCGGTCCTCCTTTTGCCCGGCGAAGTGCAGCAACTCGATGTGGCATGGACTCAACAAGTCGTTGGAAGTCCCCTGCAGGAATATTGAGCCATGCTGCCTCTATAGACGTCCATAATTGTGAAAGTGTTGACGGTGCAGGGTTTTGAGCACGAACTGACCTCTCGATGATATCCCATAAATGTTCGATGGGATTCATGTGGGGCGATCTAGGTGGCCAGATCATTTGCTGGAATTGTCCAGAATGTTCTTCTAACCAATCGCGAACAATTGTGGCCTGGTGACATGGTGCATTGTCATCCATAAAAATCCCATCGTTGTTTGAGTACGTGAAGTCCATGAATGGCTGTAAGTGATCTCTAAGTAGCTGAAGGTATCCATTTCCAGTCAATGATCGGTTCAGTTGCACCAGAGGACCGAGTCCATGCCATGTAAAAACAGCCTAGACCATTACGGAACCACCACCAGCTTGAACAGTGCCTTGTTGACAACTTGGATCCATGGCTTCATAAGGTCTGCGCCACACTCGAACCCTACCATCAGCTCTTACGAACTGAAATCATGACTCATCTGACCAAGCCACGGTTTTCCATTCGTTTAGGGACCAACCGATATGCTCACGAGCCCACGAGAGTCACTGCAGGTGATGTCGTGCTGTCAGTAAAGGCACTCGAGTCGGTCTTCTGCTGGCATAGCCCAAGGAAGACAAATTTCACCGCACTGTCCTATCGCGCACGTCCCTCATATGTCCCACATTGATTTCTGCGGTTATTTTAAGCAGTGTTGCTTGTCTGTGAACATTGACAACTCTACGCAGACGTCGCTAGTCTCTGTCGTTAAGTGCAGGTCGTCGGCCACTGCGCTGCCCATGGCGGGATGTTGTGCCTGAAATTAGATACTCTCGGCACACTCTTGACACTGTGGATCTCGGAATGTTGAATGTTGAATTCCGTAACGATATCCGAAGTGGAATGACCCATTCGTCTAGCTCCAACTACCATTCTGCGTTCAAAGTCTGTTAATTCTCGTCGTGCGGCCATAGTCACGTCTCTTCACATGAATAACTTGAACACAAATGAAAGCCCTTCCAAAGCACTTCGCATTTATACATTTTCTACGTGATACTACTGCCATCTGTATATCTGCATACTGCTATCCCATGACTTTTGTCACTTCAGTGTATATATACTATATACACATTTACATATATGCTTCTACATACCTATTTTTGTTATTGTATATAAACAGTGGAACCTTGGATCATAAATGCCTCACTTCATGAACAATTTATCTGAACAAAAATGCTTCAAATGATCAACAGTATCTGGAGTTAGGAACATTTAAGTCAGCAGCATATGATTTTCAAAAGTGTTTTGAGGTAAACTATGCTATATAATTAACACTCGTGAACTTTGGAAACATGATTTTAATATTTTCTTTTAATGAAGCTGGGAAGCAAATAACTTAAACGACCATAAATTTTAACTGAAAGTTGATTAATTGGTGGATTTCTTGGTGCATAATGCATCACAACCCTAACATACATGATCCATTTATTCCAGTTTAAAAATAGCATATGTCAGATCCACATGATAAATTTAAATACAAAGCCAGATAATATATCAATATACATAGCACATAAAAACACATTTATCTACTTAAAACCATTCAAATTAAATTACAGAAACCAGTTTCTCTCATATAATGAAATAGATTAAAACTGACCTCTTGTTCAAAGAAATGGTCAAGATGAAATTCAGATCTACTAAAATATTTTAAACAAAGACTTTTAAAGTGTACACATTATATTAGAATATGACAGAAGGGCATTACACTTTGAGCAAATGGGCCTTTAGAAGGTAATTAAGAGCAATGCGAAAGTGCCCAATTCTAGGTTAGGTCAAAAGAATTTGCTTCTTTTGGCTTTTATCATTTTCACTGTCTTCCACTCTAGATTTTATACTTCTCAATTTGTTGTGAAACTGAATGTCCCAGAGTCATTGCCATTTATTGAAAAGAACAAGCTGACTGTACAGTTCAACAGCAGATTTAGCTGTGATGTCTGCCAACTCACTGCCATTTACTCCCAATTGCCCAGTAGCCCAACAATAAAGTATCAGATACCTACACTTCCTCAAGTTCAAATACAGCTTCATCACATAAATAACTACTGGATTTTGATGCCAGAAAATATTTAATACACTGCAGATAATTCAAAGGTCAGTATTGAGCAAATAACATACGAACAAATACTCTTCATGCGATTGATGCTCTAACATGATTAGTTCCTTTGACTTAGCTGCATATGACAACTTTTTCTTGAACACAGATAAAAATATATCAGCTATATTTTTGCCTATGTTTAAGAAAGAATTGTCTGTATATGATATCGCAAGCATTTCATTTGTAAAAATAGCAAAAAGCATCAAGAAGTTGGATTTCGCTTGTTCCCAAAATAAAATTTCAAAATGCTTGACTGCTTGGCTATACACAGTAGTCATACTGTATTCTTTGATCAATGGGCAAACTCTTAAAGAGAAAGAAGGCACACAAGATGGTCATGCTTCAAACAGAAGCTGACACGTGTCATCAGGCAAAAGCAGTTTAAATAGATGGTCAAACTGCAACAATAAATTCAAATAATGGTAATGAGACAGTTGCTCCAGCCACGACTGAAGTGATGCCGGTAATATCAATGTACAGACTCTGAACAGAAGGCTCTCAACCTCTTTTGTTCAATATACCCCTTCCACTATTGGCCCCCATTTCCAAACTAGAAAAAAAAAAAAAAAAAAAAAAAGCATTTAATTAAACTCAGTTTATTTTTGAATGTTTTATAAACTATGAGAAACCCTGTTCTAAACGCTCTGGAACATATATACAGAGCCTGATGATGAAAAGAACCAAATTTTAGTAATATAGAAGGCCATGCCAAATCATAAATCATCGAGTCATAATCCAATCTCAAGCAGATGAGTGGTCTATGATATGAAGCAATGAGCAACAATTCGGAATAAGATTATATGAATAAGAAGTGTTCACTAGGATGTTTAGCGCATTCAGTGTTTTGAAATATTTCCTTCTCAAGTATAAGACATACAGAAGGAAGTTTAGTTTTATATCAAACATCACTCCCAAGAACTTCACTTTGGATGCCACAGGAATTAAAAGATCCCTGAGGATGAAGATTACACTTTTCACAGAAGTGGATACACACAGTTTGTTCTGTTTTGAAAATGCAAATCCTTCCTTGTTTAACCATTTCTGGATCCTGTTCAAAGCGATCTGGAATTGTTTCTCCATATATCTTGTATCTGCACCTTGACAATTTAGTTGGAGATCATCAACATATAACATTCCTGAAAGGGTAGAGTGAAGCTCTTTTAACATGAAATTTATTTTTAAGCTGAAATGTGTAGCACTGAACACACTACCTTGAGTCATATCCTCTCGTTCAAACACAAATGACAATGCAGAATTAATCCATACTTGAGAAGTTCTTCAAAAAATTCTGATTTAAAATTGGTAGGTTTATGTGCAAGCCACAAGCTTAAAGATCATTCAAAATGTCATATCTCCGTGCTTTACTGTATGCTTTTTCAATGTCGAAGAAGGCAAAGACTAAGTGGTTTCTCTTCAAAAAGGCTTTCCAAAATAAGCATATTATCAACAGTCATTCTATCACTCTGATATGATGAGACTGCATTATTTTTTAAGTAATAGTCTAGGATACAGTTTAAAATTTTTCAAACAATTTTTAGACGCAGCTCGTTAAGTGCAATGGACCGACAGTTTGAGGAATTTCTCAGATCTTTTCATGGCCTTGTTATGGGGATGAGAACAGCTCTCTTCCATGCAATGGAAAAGATATGCTCCTACACATTCAATTATAATAAGAAAGGACAGTCAGTGGCATACAAGACAGATGCTCAAGCATTCCATAACTCATGCTATTTGGACCCAGAGTAGATCTATGTGTCTCCATCAGTTCAAGAGAGTATTGATGCATCTATATAGAATAGAATAGAAAAACTGCCATAGAATGCCAATAGAAAAACTAGCATTATGCCAATGGCATTATACACATAACAGGCTATTCTGTCTTAAAAAGTAAGCCACCAAAGTCATTTCTTCCCATAGGTAGATATCCCTAGTGTGTTTTATCATTATCTGTTCAGATTAGCAAAGTATATTGTTATACTAATTATAGTAAAGCACACAGCTTGATCTGCATATGAAAAAAAACCCACAAAAATTTGCACGTAGCCAGCCTGTTCACTAGGATTTGAATCCTGATCTAACTACAAGTCACTCGCATTCAACAAGTCAAGTTAACCAGCCTCCAGCATCCTTACTATTCTGCCAATGCTGGGCCTGCCATTATCAAATAATAAAATCTAATTCAAATTCTAATAACATTATCATGCTGTTGCATTAGATCAAGGTTTCTCACATGAATGGTATTTTCACACTCTGTTGAACATGCATTATATTGTCAATACTTGTCTTCCATAGCAACCATGGTGAAACGTGGATTCTGTACATGTGCAAGAAACAGGTTAAAATTTATTCTATGGTATCCCCTTGGCAAATCGCTTCTTTTTTGACACCAAGATTAGCGCCGCAAAGGATCGGCAACAATTTCAAGATGGTGCTGATCCTTCCGCCCACTACACAACCAAAACAAGAACTCAAAGACTTACACAAACTCAGTGTCCATGTAAACATCAACATATTTTAACTTGAAAAAAAAAAAAAAAAACATCAGAGAATTGCACAAACTAAGCATTGTGCACTGTCTTAACTTTGTCCATGTACACATCGATCTATTTTCACTTAAACAAAATCAGGAAGCTAAAAAGTTAAAAATATCATGTGAACCAGAAAAAATTTGCCACTGTCTTAACACACAGAGATGATCAAACAATCAAAAATACATATTTCCAAACATAAAATCATTAAATAACAAATCTTTTAACAAAAATTAACACACAGAGATGAATAAACAAATGAATCGGCAATTTTTTAGCATACCTTTTTTTCCTCATGTGTACATTCACACTTCCCACCACCATCTCCTCCATCCTCCACGTAAACAATTGAATTAAGTTTTTGGTCGTTATGGCTCATCCGCTGTTAATGGTGGATAAATACGTATAATAGCATCCAAACCATCAACATTCATCCTCTTACTTATCTCAGACATACTCAGTTGATAGTACCCACCTTAAAATACAACACTAACGCACATGCAACCAAGCATAGCAACTGAAAAGAATGGTATGAATAAAAAAAAAAAAAACATGTTCATATAAAAGGGTTACTATTACAAAAAATAGCCAAAATCTCAATTTATCACAACACATCTGGCAATAGTCGCAGAAATAACCCCTTTTTAATGGCAAAAACTAAACAAATCCACAATTTTCCCTAAAGCTAGTTTCACCAACATTTTCAACATCAGGGTTACCGGAAAACCTATTTCACATAGCAGGCTTTCAAATTTAACGAACAACCAATACGACTTAACGACTTTTTCAGGCAGAAACTAAGGGAAACCGCACAGTAAATTAAACAAAATACTCATTATGCTTACTACTATTAATCTTCCATGAATGGCAAAAGAAGTTACAGTTGATGTTTGAGACACTGTTAGCAGAAATTGCTGAACTATGGCCACCAGAGGCAGTCTGTAAAAAATGAATTTTTCTACATGTTCATAAATAGAATTTCTCTATATGCATGATATTAAGCATAACTGTCTCGCATGTTTATATATGTTGTTATATAAAATAAATTGCTCACGTTGATTCTGTTAAATCCAAAAGGTGATGTACATATGTTTATTAAATTATGCTGTTACTTTAAATAAATTGTTGATAAAATTGTATAAAACAGTTTAATAAAGACAAATTTATATTAAATTCCGGTAAAATCTTAGTATATGGTGCAGCCTTGGCGAGATTTCGAAAATTATCGCCAACACCAAAAATGACCCAAACAACGTCTATGTATATACTATACACTATCACTATATACATAGTATATACTATGTATAACTATATATATTCTTTGAATGACCTGTTCACTACTTCATCGTATATGTCCCGTTTTTACTGCTTATCATAAAGTCGCCAAATCCCGTGTGCACCGTATACTAGGATTAAACCTAAATTCCTTCTACATGTATGCATTAAATAACTTATGCTGAGCAGATACTGAATGATAGTCAATTTCAGTTTCATGCAGGCTCATAACAACTGGCAACAAATCGCACTTTCTTAAGCTGCCAAATTTTGCTTACACAGTATTATCTTGCCAAGGCTACTGCAGAAGGCATTTTCTTCTGTAACATAACATAAAACTGCCCCGAAATAAAATAAAAAAGGGTGTGCTCTGAAAGTATTAAAATCATTTAAATATGAAAAATACTCCAGTAATTAAAACAAAAATTAAAAAGGGGGCAAAAAGTCTGAAATTCACAATTTGATATCCTCAAAATCTCTGAAAATTTTCAAACATTTGCTTCACGGTAATATTACACTTAAAATATATATATATTGGTTCACAGCTTATCATTATATACATGTGATAACTAATAAACATAGCCATACAATTGCGTTTTTTTTTTAAAACAAGTGTCAAGTATAAATAATAAATTTTATTTCAAAAATTAACCATTTGCCTCTGTAAATTGACAAGTTTTCAACTTACAAGAGATGCATTCTTTCTAGAAAAGCGAATGATACCAGAGTTCATCATCTCTACGAGTCTCATTAGCAAATGATGCATCGAGTTACATTATGTAAGGCAGCACAACATATAATATCTATTTACGCATCACGCTTCAGCGGCTGATTCTCAAACAACAATCGGTTTAAAATAAAATATACAATCGCAAACTTTCACCCTTAAGTCTTTCTTCCGGTGATCTCAGAAAAGGCTATGTTTCAACAGAAAATGTGGATAGGAAACAGATAGTTCGACTGGTACTTCAAACTACTAGTGAATTAATTAATTTTTAACTTAAAAAGCTAAAGATTAATTATTTCCTCATTTACAAAAGGAAAATTAGAAACTTAAGAGATCGTCTGGGTAAGGAAAACTTAAGCTGAAATTTGAATACAGGAACGTTTCTTTCTTGGCTAACTTTAAAAAAAAATTTCATATGTCCGTTTCTAATAAACTCCTCTTATATAAATCTATACTTCGACCAGCATTACTCTATGCTAGTCCTGTTTGAGGCCACGCTGCCGAAACTCACCTTCAACAGATCCAAGTTCTTCAAAACAAAGCAATCAAAGAGATCATCATCGCGCCTTGGTTCATTCCAAATTCGTATACTCACCGTGATCTCAAAGTAGATACAATTCAAGATTATATTAAAAAACTTGCCAGAAATTTCTTCTATTCAGTTCTCACTCATCCTAACAACTGCATCAACTCTCTTAGAAAAGCACAAATATCCATCTGACATTGTCCATCCTTAACATTTTTTACTTATACTAGATTCTTCAGTTCACTGATTTGGCCCTTCGACCAGACACTCACCTTTTTCGTCGACTAATGGCGGCCACCTGACTTTTACTTTCGTCTTTTTGTTTTACTGATGTTCTTCACGTGATACAGAGTATAAGGAGGCGCTGCTTTCTGAAACTCAAATTCACTAAATGTTCTTAGTAAGTTATTGTGATGATGAGTCATAGTAAGCGATAAAGGAGCGCTCTTTTCTGCTGATATATGCCAAATCAGAAAAGAATTTTTGTTGGGGAGAGTTTCCTTTTTGATATGCAGTCACATGGACACCTTATACTCCGTGGTTTTTGAGAATTGTTTCTCGGAAGTAAGGACACGATTCCGAACCGACGAGAACCGAAACCTACCAAGAATAATAACAAAACATTTGTTTTCCAGTCACGAATGTTTGCTGGTTTCGTTTCCCGGCCGTTAAAAAGCTTTCGCACACGTACAGTCGGTCACAAAAGTATTCGAACACCGGTACCCTATCAGAAAATGACAAGATGGCGTTTTTTTTTCTCTTTCTCTCTGTGTGTCGTGTTATTCCATCCTAGGTTTTCTTCTCCCCCCCCCATCTTGGAAAAAACTGGAAAAAATTGGTTACGATCTCTTTTTGAATGGGGAGATGCCATTTTGAGAAAAAGCTGACGACCCTATCTTGGAGAATGAACATGACCGCTCTACACACCCTTTTACTCTCTCTCTCTCTCTCTCTTTGAATTGGGAAGCCATTTTGGGAAAAAGCAGACGACCCTATCTTGGAGAATGGAAATGAACGCCTCTCCCTCTCTCTTTGAAATGGGAAGCCATTTTGGGACCCTCTATTCTTGGGGAGGGAGAAAAACTGAAGTCTGCATTTCGCTGTCTCTGAATGCGGAAAGCCCTTTTGGGAAAAGCGGACCCTCTTCTTCTGATCTTGGAGAACTGGAAATGAACGCTCTACACGATCTCTCTTTGAATTCAGAAGGTATTTTGGGACCTTCTAATGTTGGAAAACTGAAATGAACGCTCTACACCTTCTCTCTCTCTCTTTCTCTGAAATGGGTAGCCATTTGAAAACTCCCTAACTTTGGAAAAAAACAGAAATGAACGCTCTACACCATCTCTCTTTGAAAATGGGGGGGGTGTCATTTTGAGACCTCCCTCCCCTAAACTTGGAAAAAAAAACTGAAATGAACGCTCTACACTTTCTCTCTTTGGACATGGGTAGCCCTTTGGGGACCCTCTCCTCTTGGTAGAAAAAAAAAAAAGAACTGAAGTGAAGGCTCTACACAATCTCTCTTGGAATGGGATCCATATTTCGGGAAACGTGGATCACCTCATGCTGGAAAACTGAAGTGAACCACCAAGATTGGACTCTATATAATATTTTTTTTTAATTGACATCATGACCCTCCTCCAATTTGTTATTAAAAAAATTGTTTTTTTTTGTTTTGGTTTTTATCCCATTTCCGATGTGATTTCAGAAATGCAATTCCATAACAGTTCAATTTCATTCGAGGTTAAATGATCTAAACAGTCTTTGACCCACCCATCCGTATGATTATTTTCTTCTCCTTCCTGTTGCACCAAATTTTGTAAGTCCATATAATCATTCCATACGGGAAGGGCTGGATCCTCACAAGGCTGTCTTGAAACACTTGGAGTCTCTTTGGGATGAGTGGAGGGATCTAGGATGTCTGGACCCGGCTGCGATTCTACCTCCATGATTTCTGGACCCGTTGGAACTTGTTTACCCGGCTGAAATTCTACCTCCATGATTTCTGGACCCGTTGGAACTTGTGAACCCGGCTGTGATTCTGCCTCCATGATTTCTGGACCTGTTGGAACTTGTGGACCCGGCTGACATTCTACCTCTACGATGTCGGGACTTTTTGAAGCTTGTGGACCCGTCTGACATTCTACCTCTACGATGTCGGGACAGGTTGGAGAAGAAGAGAAGAAGAAGAAGAGGATACTGGAAGAGGTTCTGTCTGTGAGGAGTCCGAAAGAGGTTGCCTGTTTGAACAAGTCGGGGAAGAAGAAGAAGAAGAAGAAGCTTCTGGATTCTGAAGCGGATCTTGCACGCCAGGTAGGTTCCGGTAAGTCGACCGTTTTTTAAGAGGTAATTTTTTTTCTTCCTCCTCATCTTCAATTGTGATGACTTCAATTTCATTCCGTTGCCGGGTCGATTTTGTTTCGGGCCATGAACGGTTTGGTCCAGCTCCTCTTATCATCTAAGGAAGGGATGGGTAAAGGTGGCGGAGGGTTTTACTTCTTTTTCTTGAAACATCATCGGCGATTGGAAAGAAATCTCCTCTTTCAATTGTTTCCAAAGCGAGTACGAGCACCGATCGACGAGAAAGAGACTCTTCTGGGTTGTGACGATGAGATATTGCGTTTTCGGGGGAACGACATAGTTTTGAAAAGGTCTTAGAATATATTTCTTATATTTCATCCTGTCGCTGACTTTAAAACTTCTTTCCTTCAGATTGGGGGACGATGATTCGTAATAGGCGAGAGGAGCGGCTGTGGTTTGAACAATATGAACTTCGTCCTCAGCCGTCGTTCTCACTCCAAACGTAAAATATCGTTTCGTGAGAAAAAAAATATTCTTCCACCGAAAACTCGTGCGCGGATCTGTATATCGCCGGTCTGTTTGAATGGGCCGTCTCAAAGCTCGATCCATCCGATTCCAAGAGAAGGGAGATTCCTCTTTCGTTTGTTGCGATTCGAATAAATTTCTGTATATATTCTGAACGAGCAGGTTGGAGGATTCGACATCTTGGTTGAAAGAAACGATCGCTTGATGAGGTGGTAAATGCGGAATAAATGTCGCACAATGACACGCCAAAAAAATTTTCAAGTTGGAGATTTGCTTTAGCGTCTTCAAATCCTCCCCGTTCGAAATCCGTTGAGTTGGAAAAACGTCTAATAGCGACATGGCTCCCAATGGAAAAGAAATGATCTCGCCCAGTACTCTCGTCTTTTTATATATCTATATAGACACACACAGACACACATAGAGGCTCTATGACGTCCGTTTTATTTGTTTTTTTTTGTTTCTCTCTCTCTTCTTTCCAAGAAATCTTATCTCCATGACCTCTTTTTCTTTTCTTAAAAAGATGAATGTGTGTGGGAATGAGGAAGTGAAAGTAATAATTTAATAAACAAAAAATTATCCAACCATGACCTTCTTTTTTTTTCAAAGTCACCCTTTCCAATCCAAGGACGTCCAGAGATAGAGGAAGCAGGGAGAGAGGAGGAGGAGGGAAGGGAAGGTCACACTCTCTTTCTCTCTATAAATAAAAGGGGAGAGCCCCAAAGTCGTATTTTTGTCCAAGTGGATCATGAGGAGGCATCCCCAGCTCACTACGTGTATTCCTTTCAAATATAAATATGTTGATCTTTCCTTTTATATCATCCAAGGAGTCGTTTACCTGAAAGCCTCCGATTTTTCAAAATGTGCGGGTTATTATACCGTGGGGAGTTATCAAAAGATGCGGGACGAATTTTTGTCCGACGAAAACGTGTTGATGGCTCGTGACATTCCACCTTTGGATGCACAAATTTTGTTAATGAAACGAGCCAAATATTTTTACACGTCCCACTTTCTAACCGTCTCGCAAATGAATAGGATTATGGATCGTCTTGAGAAGACAAAAGGGATTCTCGTTCATTTTAGTGAATGGTTGCACAAATGTTTGCACGAACCTCTCTCGATCGAGAAGACTGGGAAGAATACCTATTATATTCTTCTCGAGGACTCTCCTCCTTCGTCTCATCATTAGAGAGGCCACGACTTTTGAAAAAATCCTCGAGCAAGAAAAAAAAATAGAATGGTGGAACAACTACCCCATCCCTCTCCCCGAGCATCAAGAGGAGCCTGTTCAGAAGAAAAAGAAAAAACCTTTCCAAAAGCCTATCCTCATCCTCCTCGATAATGATGGGGATGAGGAGAAGCCTGTTCAGATTCCTCTCCGTTTGTCAAAACCCGTCGAGGATGAAAAACCTCTCCCTTCCTCAAAACCCCTTGAGGAAGAGAGACCCCTCGAGAAGGAGAGAATCTCTCCCATTGTCAAACCTCCTCGAAGATGAAAAACCTCTCCCTTTCTCAAGACCCCTCGAGAAGAGGGACCTCTTCCTTTATCAAACCCCCTCGAAGATGAAAAACCTCTCCATTTATCAAGACCCCTCGAAAATGAGGGACCTCTCGATTTGTCAAAACCCCTCGAGGATAAGGGAACCAAAACTTCTCTGTCTTTCGAAGAGGAGGGACCTCCTCTCAATTTGTCAAGACCCCTCAAGAATAAGGGAACCGAAAATCCTCTCCCTTTCTCAAGACTTCTCGAGGAGGAGGAGGAGGAGGAGAGACCGCTCC